TGATAATAATTCTAAGAAAACTATGAATAGAAGGGACGTTCCTCAACTTGGTAAAGAGCATCTATGAAAAGCCTATAGCTAACTCATACTTACATTGAAAGACCAAATGCTTTCCTCTTAAGAACTGGAACACCGTAGAAATAGTGTTTTCACCACATCTATACACCATTGCACTGATGTCTGAGTTAGTGAAATAAGGCGAGAGAGAGAGAGAGAGAGAAATGAAAGTCACATGGATTGAAGAGTTAGAGTTTATCTAGAAAGTAAAGAAAGAAACTAAAAATTGTTGCTATAACATGTAGGTTTCAAAAGGTATCAGGACACAAGATCAATGTACCATAACCTATTGCTTTCTGTATACTAGTTACAAATAATTGAAAAATGAAATTGGGGCACCTGGGTGTCTCAGTCAGTTAAGTGTCCGACTTTGGCTCAGATCATGATCTCTCAGTTTGTGAGTTTGAGCCCCACATTGCGCTCTGTGCTGACAGTCAGAGACTGGAGACTGCTTCCAATTCTGTGTCTCCCTCTCTCTCTGCCTCCTCCCCAGCTTGCACTCTGTGTGTGTGTCTCTCTCTTTCAAAAATAAACATTAAAAATTTAAAAAATGTTAATGTTTACTCATTTTTGAGAGACAGAGAGAGAGAGACAGAGCATGAGTGGGTGAGGGGAAGAGAGAGAGAAGGAAACACAGAATCCAAAGTAGGCTATAGGCTCAGAGCTGTCAGCACAGAGACTGACATGGGGCTCGAACTCACAAACTGTGAGATCATGACCTGAGCTGAAGTCAGACGCTTAACCAACTGAGCTACCCAGGTGCCCCAGAATTTTTTTAATAAATAAACTATTTATTTATTAAAATTTTATTTAAAAAAACTATTATTTTTTAATAAATAATCTCTCTTTCTCTCTCTCTCTGTCCCTCCCCCACTCATGCTGTCTCTGTCTCTCTCAAAAATAAATAAATAATCTAAAAAAACATACCATTTACAATAGCATCAAAAACATGAAATATCTGTGACTAAATCGAACAAAGTATATGCAATATTTGTATGTTGAAGGTTATTATTCACTGCTGAGAGACAGTAAAAAGATTTAACTAAGTGGAGAGAAAATACCATGTATATGTTTGGGAATATTGTTAAGATGTTAATTCTCTCTGAATTGATCTTTAGTCTCAACATAATTCTAACTAAAATCCTGTAAGACCTTTGGTAGAAATGGAAAAACTGATTCTTAAATTTATATGGAAATGTAAAGGATCTCAGGTAGCAAAATGATTTTCAAAAAGGAGAACAAATTTGTGGACTCACAATAATTTCAAGAGTTATCATAAGGTTACAATAATCAAGACCCTGTAGCAATCCTGTAATGATAGACACAGCTCAATAGAGCACAACAGTGTCCAGAAATAGATCAAATGAGTTTCAACAATGTTGCCAAGGTAATTCAGTAAGAATATTTTTTTCTTTTTTCTTTTCTTTTTTTTAATGTTTATTTATTTCTGAGAGAGAGAGACAGTGTGAGCAGGGGAGGGTCAGAGAGAGAGGGAGACACAGAATCTGAAACAGGTTCTAGGCTCTTGAGCTGGCTGTCAGCACAGAGCCCGATGTGGGGCTCGAACCCATGAACCGTGAGATCATGACCTGAGCCAAAAGTCGGACACTTAACTGAATGAACCACCCAGGCACCCCAAGAATAGTTTTTTCAACAAATGGTGGTGGGACAATTATACTTCCACATGCATTAAAATGAATTTTGACTGTTACCTCACACCTTATAAAAAATTAACTCAAAATCAATCAGAGGCTTAAGAGTTAAAACTCAATACTTTGGTGGGGATGGGGGGCACCTGGCTGGCTCATCTGGTGGAAACTGCAACTCTTGATCTCAGGGTTATGAGTTTGAGCCCCATATTGGGTGTAGAGACTCCTTATTTAAAACTTGAATAAAAGAACACCTTAATACTGTTAGAACAAAACATCAGAGAAAATTTTGGGGACCTTTGGGTTAGGCAAATATTTCTTAGCTAAGATGCAAAAAGCATGAATCATGAAAAAAATGATAGACTGGACAGCCTCACAGTTTAAAACTTCTGTTATTTAAAAGCACCTCTAGGGGCGCCTGGGTGGCTTAGTCGGTTAAGCGTCCGACTTTCGCTTAGGTCATGATCTCGTGGTTCGTGGGTTCGATCCCCGCGTTGGGCTCTGTGCTGACTGCCAGCTCAGAGCCTGGAGCCTGTTTCAGTCTGTGACTCCCTCTCTCTCTGACCCTCCCCTGCTCACGCTCTCTCTCTCTCTCTCTCTCCTAGAAATAAATAAAACATTAAAAAAAAGCACCTCTAATAAAATGATGGTATGATGTAAGGACCAAGAGAAAGTATTCAAAAGATACATATATAAAAAAATGACTTATAGGGGCACCTGGGTGGCTAAGTTGGTTAAGTGTCTGACTTCAGATCATGATCTCATGGTTCATGAGTTTGAGCCCTGCATTGGGCTGTGGGCTGACAGCTTGGAGTTCAGAGCTTGGAGCCTGCTTTGGATTCTGTTTCCCTCTCTCTCTGCCCCTCCTCCATTCTCTCTTGCTGTCTCTCTCTGTCAAAAATAAACATTAAAAAACAACTTAAAAAAGGATTTATATTCATACCACCTAAAAAGAACACCTTAAAACACACTAATAGTGAGACAACCCAATTTTTTAAATGAGCAAAATATTTGAACAGACATTTCCTCACATACAGATGGCAAATTAACACATGAAAACATGTCCAAAGTTTAGTCATTATAGATATGCAAATGAAGACAACACCACTACATATCTACTAAAATGGTCAACAAAAAAGAGACTGATCATATTAAGTGTTAATTAGGATTTAGAGCAACTGAAACCCTCAGATAGTGCTGGTAGGAATGCAAAATACCATATCAAAAAAATAGTTTGGAACTTCATCTTGAAGTTAAATATGCAATTACCATACTACCCTTTTTTGGTATCCACTCCCCTCCAAAATAAAAACATATATCTACACAAGTACCTGTATGTTAATGTTTACAGTTGCTTTATTCATAATATTAACATTAAAAACAACTCAAATGTCCATCAACTGATTGATGAATAAACAAATTGTGGTACAACCATAGAGTAGAATACTGTTCAGATATTTGACAAAAGGAAGTAATGATATATAAGAACACAGATGGATCTCAACAGCATTAAACCATGTAAAATAAACCAGAAGCAAAAGGCTTCATTCGATATGATTCCATTTATCGTATGGATTTATGGCAAACTGGAAAAGGCAAAACTATAGTAACAGAAATTGGATCAGGGGTTACCAGCAACTGGGAATTCACCAGTGTTCTCTTCCAGGACCTGTATGACCTTATCTTTTATATTTAAATATCTGGTCCATTTGGAATTTATCCTGGTGTTAGAAATTGATTCACTTTAGTTATTAAAAATCCCAACTTTTGATCAGACACCATTATATACTTATTAAAATAGTTAAATTAGGGGTGCCTGGGTGGCTTAGTCGGTTAAGCGTCCGACTTTCGCTTAGGTCATGATCTCGCGGTTCGTGGGTTCAAGCCCCGCGTCGGGCTCTGTGCTGACTGCCAGCTCAGAGCCTGGAGCCTGTTTCAGTCTGTGACTCCCTCTCTCTCTGACCCTCCCCTGCTCATGCTGTCTCTCTCTCTCTCTCCTAGAAATAAATAAAAAACATTAAAAAAAATAAAATAAAATAGTTAAATTATTAAAAAGTGAAAGTACCAAACACTGGCAAGAATGTGGGAAATCTAGATGTTTCATAAATTGTTGGTGGAAATATAAAGTGGTAAAGCAACACTAGAAAAGTTTGGCAGCTTATTGAAAAAAAAATGAAACACATATAACATGACCTTTTGTTCTCTACTTTCGGAAGCTCTTTTTATATTAGCGATACATAGCTTTTGTTTTTGATATGCCATTGACACTCCTGGGCATTTGTCCCAGAGAAATGACTTAAGTCCACACAAAAACCAAACTGTGGCACATTCGTATAATGGAATACTACTCAACAATAAAAAGGAACATACTATTAATATATGCAACAGCTTGGATCTCAAGGGACGTATGAGGAGTAATAAAAGGATGATTTCAATGGATCACATACTGTATAATTCCATTTATGTAGCATTCTTCCAGAGGAAAAAAAATTGTAGAGATGGAGAATTAGTGGTTGCCAGGGGTTAGAGTTGTGTCGGTGGGGGAAAGGAGTGGGTATGCCTATAAAGGAGTGGTACAAGGGATATACTTGATTTTTTTAATGTTTATTTTTGAGAGAGAGAGAGAGACAGACAGACAGACATAGTGCAACCTGGAGAGGGGCAGAAAGAGAAGGAGACACAGAATTTGAAGCAGGCTCCAGGCTCTGAGCTGTCAGCACAGAGCCTGACTCGGAACTCAAACTCACGAATAGTGAGATCACGACCTGGGCCAAAGTTGGACGCTTAACTGACTGAGCCACCCCGTCACCCACAAGGTAGGTATTTATAGTGATAGAATAGTTGTGGGTCTTGATTGAAGTGCCTCAAGAATCTTTGCATGATGTGGCACCTGGGTGCCTTAATCGGTTAAGCCTCTGACTCTTGATTTCGGCTCAGGTCACGATCTCACAGTTTGTGCGATCGAGGCACTTATTGGGCTCTGCACTGACATCACAGAGCCTGCTTGGGATTCTTTCTCTCCCTCTCTCTTTACTCCTCCCCCACTCTTTCTCTCAAAATAACTAACATTTAAAAAAAAAGAATCTTTGTAGGAGATGTGCATGAGATAAAATAGCATAGAAGTGTACACACACGTTGTACCTATAGCAATGCCTGATTTGATATTATAGTAGAGTTACAAGAGGTGTAATCATTTGGAGAAACTGGATGAAGTGTTCATGGAAACTCTCTGTACTATTTTTGTAATTTCTTGTGAATCTATAATTATTTCAAAACTAAAAGAAATTTTAAGCAATCACTTCTTGGCCTTTTGGCTAAGATCAAATGTAGTATTTGTTCTTATCGGTTTAATATTTGATACATCCTCTGAGGACAATATAGTAAATGGATTTTGGAGCAGGGTTATAGGAATGTCCTTTGTCCATTTCAATGCATGAACCTGGTATTGCAGTACCTCCAGGAACAGCACACTCCCTTGGGGGAAATACCCAGATGTTTAAAGTCAGTTTGAGCTGTTGGGAGTTGTTCATCTGAGATGATGTCTTCTGGATGCTTCTGCCTTCTAGTGTTAAGTGAATGGCTTGTGCCTGGCTTCCTGGAGACATAGGTACATATACGCACTATGTACCACTATAAGCATGAATAAATGTATAATTATGCCAAAAATTTTTTTCTTAAGCAATCTCAACTTTTTTTTTAGTTTATTTTTGACAGAGAGAGAGGGAGAGAGAAAGAGTGAGCACACATGAGTTGGGGAGGAGCAGAGAGAGAGGAAGGCAGAGAGCTCGATGTAGGGCTTGAACTCATAAACTGTGAGATCATGACCTCAGCCTGGTGGACACTTAATGGACTGAACCACACAGGAGCCAGCAATCTCAACTTCTGAGGTGCTGCTTAAATCTTAAACTTCAATGTCTTAATTTCTTTATGGAACTCAGCCTATTTGTGGATTTCGGCTCTTGAGATTGTTCTGTTTGTGTACTCACAAGTCAATACCAATTGTCTTAAATATAAGTATTTTTTTGTAGGCCTAGCTACATAAAATATCGGGTAGGCCTAGCTCACTTGCTCATTACTGTTCTTTTTCAGGTTTTCTAGGTGATTCTTGCTTGTTTCTTCTTCAAAACTAACTTTCTATTCAACTTGTTATACCCCCAGAAAAAAGGATTTGATAGTACAGGAGATGATATAGTATAAACTTGACATCTTTATGATGTTGACCCTTTTAATCAGAAAATGTGGTATATCTATTTATTTAAGTTAACTTTTGAATCTTTCAAAAGTGGTTTATAATTTTCCTCATATATGTATTGGATATTTCTTGTGTTGTTTAAACTTAAGTATTTTATTGTTTAGGGCAAAGAAATTCTACTATATCTTCTATTTGGGTTTTGTTTGTATATATGAAGCTATTTTGAGAGAGAAAGAGATGAGAGAGAGAGAAAGAAACAATGAGAGAGAGAGAGAGAATGTGAGTGGGAAGAGGGGCAGAGAGAGAGAGAGAATTCCAAGCAGGCTCCTGGCTGTCAGCACAGAAACCGATATGGAGCTTGAACTCACAAACTGATCATGATCTGAACCAAAACCAAGAGTCAGACTCTGAACCAACTGAGCCACCAAAGTGCCCAACTATTGCTATTATTTTTTTATATTCATTTTATAGCATGGGTTTAGTGGATACTAAAAGAAAATAAGAACTAACAATGGCTGGGCACTTGTTAGATGTTATATAATTTTACATAAGTTATTTAATCCTCAAAACCAGATTTGGAGATACATAGTATTTCCTTGTTTTCAAGATAAGAAGATACAACTATCTATAAACCTCAAAAAGTAGAATGTGAATCTATGCTAATATGGCCCCAAAGCCCATGACTTCAATTTCTGACCTATTTTTCATGAATATAATCTACATATAAAAATTCTGGAAAACATATACAGATTTAAAAATTATCATAAGGTGGGTGGGCATCCATATAACTGCACCAGAATCAAGGAATAGAATATTGTCAGTACTTGAGAAGCCCTGCACAGCTTTTGCCAATCCCAACCCCTACCTATTGATTAAACTTCAGCACTTTCTTGAGTTTTCTGGCAGTTACTTCCTTGACTTCCTTTGCATGTAGTTTTACCATTTCAGTATATATTTCTAAACAACATAGATTTTTAAAAAATTATTTAATGTTTATTTTTGAGAGAGAGGGAGAGAGGAAGCTGGGGAGGAGCAGAGAGAGAGGGAGGCACAGAATTCGAAGCAGGCTCCAGGCTCTGAGCTGTCAGTACAGAGCCCGAAGCAGGGCTTGAACTCATGAACTGTGAGATCACGTCCTGAGCCAAAGTCGGATGTTTAACTGACAGAGCCACCCAGGCACCCCACAATATAGTTTTGTTGGAATTTATATTGTATTTGAAATGGTACCATATGTATTTCATGTTTGATTTATTCCAACATCATTTTTGTTAGATTTATTCATGTTGTTGCATGAGACTATAAAATTACTCTGTGATAATTACCGTATTTTTAAAATTTTAAGTAGGCCCATGCCCAACATGAGACTCGAACTCATGACCCTGGGATCAAGAGTCCCATGCTCTAAAAGGAGAGCCAGACAGGCGTCCCAATTATTGCTTAGTATTGTATAGGATTGCTTTGTATGAATATGCCACAATTTATTTATCCATTCTACTATTAACTGATATTTGAGGTTTCTAGTTTGGGGCTATTACAAATTCTGATGTTATATATATTTGTTTTAGGTGTACTTGTTGTTTTATACTTAAGATCTATCTGGGTCAAGGATATGTGGTTCTGTAAATTTACTAGATAATTCTAAACTGTTTAATAAAGTGGTTGTATCCATTTGTACTCTTACTCCCACTACCTACTACTTCATATCTTTGCCAACACTTGGTATTGTTAGTCTCTTTGATTTTAGAATTCAAACTGGGGTATAAAGAGATATTGCTGAGGGAATCAAGAGCAAAAATAAACTGTTGGGACCTCATAAAGATTAAAAGCTTCTGCACAGCCAAGGAAACAACCCAGAAAATTAATAGGCAACCAACGGAATGGGAAAAGATAGTTGCAAATGACATATCAGATAAAGGGTTAATATCCAGAATCTATAAGGAACTCACCAAACTACACGCCCGAAAAACAAACAACCCAGTGAAGAAATGGGCAGAAGAGATGAACAGACACTTCTCCAAAGAGGACATCCAGATGGCCAACAGACACATGAAACGATGCTCAGCATCCCTCCTCATCAGGGAAATACAAATCAAAACCACACTGAGATACCACCTCACGCCAGTCAGAGTGGCTAAAATGAGCAAATCAGAGAACTCTAGATGCTGGCGAGGATGTGGAGAAACGGGCACCCTCCTACACTGTTGGTGGGAATGTAAACTGGTACAGCCCCTCTGGAAAACAGTGTGGAGGTTCCTCAGGAAACTAACAATAGAACTCCCTTATGACCCAGCAATAGCACTGCTAGGAATTTACCCAAGGGATACAGAAATGCTGAGGCATAGGAGCACATGTACCCCAATGTTCATAGCAGCACTCTCAACAATAGCCAAAACATGGAAAGAGCCTAAGTGTCCATCAACAGATGAATGGATCCAGAAGATGTGGTTTATCTATACCATGGAATACTACATGGCAATGAGAAACAATGAAATCTGGCCATGTGTAGCAACATGGATGGACCTTGAGGGTGTTATGCTGAGCGAAATAAGTCAGGCAGAGAAGGACAAATATCATATGTTTGCACGTATAGGAGGATTAGGAGGAACTTGACGGAGGAACAAGCGGGAGAAGAAGGGCGGAAATGGTGGGGGAAAGGGAGAGAGGCAAACCATGAGAGACTCTTGAATGCTGACAAAAACTGAGGACTGATGGATGTGGGGGGGAGGGGGGATGGGCATGGAGGAGGGCACTTTGGGGATGAGCACTGAGTGTTATGTAGAAACTAATTTGACAATAAACTATTTGTAAAAAAAAAAAAAAAAAAAAGAGATATTGCTGTAGATTTAATTTATAATTTCCTGATTGCTAATGAGATTGATCACTTATATGTGTGTGTGTTTACACCATTTGACTTTTCTCTTTGGTGAAGTATGTTTTCAAGACTTGACTATTTTTTTTCTACTGAATTGGCTTCTTTTTTTTTTTTTTAATGTTTTTTATTTATTTCTGAGAGAGAGAGACAGCATGAGCAAGGGAGGGTCAGAGAGAGAGGGAGACACAGAATCTGAAACAGGCTCCAGGCTCTGAGCTAGCTGTCAGCACAGAGCCCGATGCGGGGCTCGAACCCACGAACCGTGAGATCATGACCCGAGCTGAAGTCGGACGCCTAACCGACTGAGCCACCCAGGCGCCCCTGAATTGGCTTCTTAATTTGCAGGAATTCTTTGTAGATTCTGGTTATGAACTCACAGTTTGTTATATGTGTGAAAAATATCTCTCACTCCATGCCTTGCCTTCTATTCTCTTAATAGTAACTTCGGATGAGCAGAAATTCTTAGTTTTAATGTATCCAAATATATCAATTATTTCCTTTGTAGTCAGTGCTTTTTAGTCCTCATAAATATTTTTTTCTCTACTCCAAGGTCATGATAATTCTCTTAATATTATCTTTGAGGAGAGACAAACCTGAAGGATGGCCTATAAATCATTGAGCTTGGACAACAAACTTATCCCTTGGACTGGAATTTATACCACTGGCTCCCCTGGTCCTCAGGCCTTCAGATTTGGGTTGGCATTATACCATGGACTTTCCTGGGAATAAGGCCAGGAAATCTTCTTGATCCACAGATTCAAGGGGTTCAAGAAAACCCAAGTATGATACATTTTTAAAATCCATGCACCAAACATAACTCCAGATTGCATATGGAAGATTTTGGGATTCCTTAGCCTCCATCATTGTGAGATACATATAGATAGATAGATAGATAGATAGATAGATAGATAGATCTCTTTCTCTTCCCACACACATACACACAGGCACACACACACAGATATATCTCCTACTGATTCTGTTTCTTTGAACCTTAATACATGGAAACCTAGAAGCAATCACATTAAATATTAACAGATCAAATATTTCAGATAAATAATTGTCAGTCTAGATTAAAAACAACAACAACGAGTGTATGTTACTTAGAAAAGCACATTTTAAAAATATGCTAAAATTTAAAGGCAAAAGATTGGAAAAAGACACATTTTGTAAACACTAACCAAGAGAAATCTGGTATAGCATTTAAGCAAAATAAAAACCACTAAAGATAAAAAGATCACTTAATTAGGGATGAAGATGCAAGAATTGTATATTTCTATATACAATTGTATATTTCTATGTATCTAATAAAGTGTTAAAATACATAAAGATGTAAGAATTGTATGTTTCTATATGTCTAATAAAGTCTTAAAATACACAGTCACATTTGACGGCTCTACAAACAAATCCACATT